TATATATATAAACATTATATTTAATGTAATATAATTAATTGATAACATTATGAGGATCTAATATATTTTTTCGTTGATCATTCAATATCTTACAATTTATTAAATTTCTAAATTTGTTGTAGTTGGAAAAAAATGCAAAAACAGTCAAGAATAAAATGTAGGATTAAATAAAATGCTGATGCTTTTCTAAAGGTAAAGCTTTTGTTTAAATTTCCGAATTGTATTTATTTGTCTTTAAGACGAACGATGAAGATTATTAGTAGTATATTGTATTTAGTACAATTTATTTATGTTTTTCATAATTTTATTTGAGATAAATAAACCAAAATTAAATAAAATTAATGAATAAAAAGTAAATAAATTAATAAAATCTGATATCTGTAAAATACGAAAAAGTTATTCAAATAGTTAGGTTTGTCATTTACTTTTCTACCAATCCTTTTTTCAATAAAATTTTTCTAAAATTAATTATTATATAAATTGGTTCAAGAAAGAAGTATTTATATATATATATATTCGATAAATCTTTCTCATAATGCTTCTACTATAACCATAAAAGAACAAAAATTAATGACAAATAGGGATAAATGTGAAACATTCTTATTGACAGCAGTAGTGATTACAACATAAGTTCATCATTTCTTTTAGATTTCACATCATTTTCATATCTCTGAATAATCTTCTCTGATGCGCTTTTGAGATAACATTCAGTAACGTTCTATATACACAATTTTCAGATTCTTGTCTAAAACTCGTAATGTAAATTGCATTTTCATTTCTATATTTATATTTTTAACAGTCGCAATATATAACCAAGACAAGATACCTGCAAGGATAAGATTGATAGAACATAGAACAAAGTTTTTTTCCATACACACTTGTACATACCTATAATTCTAGGTCAAAGAGGTTAATCACGAGTATCATAAAGAGACGTGATTATTTGATTAATGTTTTAATGAACGTCATGCGTCTTTAGCGACATAATCGACTCGGCAGTCAAGTGATGTTATCTTCCGGACGTGTTAATTAACGCATCTTCCTTCTATCGATCTCTAAATGAATGCAGTTAGAGCACGTAGAATCTACACAAGATAGATGTACTTATATTAGATTTCTTCGCGTTTCCACACGATCGCATCGTAATCGGAAATTAATGAATATGGACGTTGCTTGAAAATTAAATCGCGATTTACACTTCTTAAATTCCAAGTCAACGATCCTAGATGATCGCAAGTCAACGATCTTAGATCAAATTTCACGCAGAGCCCGTCACATGTCTTATCCATATGAATATTATATAAGATGCTTAATGACGCAATATGCATATCATTTTAAAATTGACTTTTTTAAAAAAAGATATAAAAGGATATCAAGTATAGGTGGGCTATACTCGAACAAAAATCAAATTTGTTGTACTAAATTAAAAAATGAAACCCGTTAGATCTTGCGATATTATTTTTCAAAAAAAAATCTGAATATATTTTTGTATTCTTATTAAAGAATCTTCTTATTTTAATTCAAGTCGTAATTCTTTTTGTGGAAATTTGAATAGATACTCGAATAACTATGTAATTCAGAGATACAGTTTAGTAAACAATCCAATTACAATTAACAATATAAAGTGTAAAGATATAAAAGAAATTGAATTGATGTTTTTTTGCGTTACAAATATGGTCAAAACTCAAATTCAAATAATATTAAATTATGTGAATAAGATATTATCTTACAATAATTATATAATGAAGTATCAAAGAATATAGAGAGTATTTCTTAATTTCCATGACATTTATCTGTATCAACTGTATTGTAATGCCTTACAACCCTGTTGCTCTCAAAACATCTTGATGAAACGAAAGTCCACTACAAAAAAGAACGAGCAACAACAATGTTCTTTTTTAATAATGTTATTAAGGCTATTAGTGTATTCAATGTGTCAAAAATGTAAGTGAACTGAAAATAAATTAGTTATAGTTCTAACATTTTTTAATCTCATGTCCTATCCGCGTGGATACGATCGTAATTGTATTTGGCAGCAGTACAAGGTTGACGTAACGATGTTTGTGTAAGAGATTATTTTAAAACGCTAGATATAAAAATTTGTACAATGAGAGGAGCAAGGTGGGACTGTGCACGATCAATGTACAAACGTGGACAAGAGCAACATGCGTGTAGAGAGCGATATACGACATCCCTGTATACAGGGGACGAAACACGGCAAATAGCTGTAGGGCTATTTCGTTATCATAATCTCGCGACGATATCGTCGAATTGCTCGGCACAACTCGTCGCAAACTCGCGCTTTGCACCAGTGCTTTAAGTTACATCGTTTACGAGTTGGACACGTTTGCACCCTTATCGGTAATAACGTTATCGATTTATCGTCGTTTCTCTCGACGCCTCCAAGGTACGATTCCAAAAGGGCTTATAAAGACTTCTGTAATAGGTGCGCTCGCGGCGCGTAGGACCGCAACTGCAGCATCTCGATCGCTCGATTCCGATTGCACCTCATGTTTATTTATCTTTTTTAACATATACAAGCATTTATTACAAAGAAAGTTAAAGTATTGATAATACGTTGATCAATAAAAGCGCATCAATAAGAACTTTTATTTATTGAACAATTTTATATGTAAATAATTCGAGAATTATATGTTTAAAAAATTTGAACGTAAAGAAATGTTATTATATGCAATTATCCTTATTAAAAATTTATAATAGCGTTCTAACGAAAACTCGTTGAGATTAATGTAACATTTAATACTGGAAATACCGAATGAACATTATTGGCTTTTTCTAATACAATATAATAATATATATTTAAATTAATATTATATTTGTGTAAAAGATAGGATTCTAAAATTTTTTCACCTTTCGATAATTATATCCTTTAACAATGAAATATTTGATTTTTTTTTATAACTCTTTATTTTAATACTAATTTATTCGTCTCTTGGTCTTTTTAGTGAATAAGAAACGTTAATGTACTTCTACTGCAATTGTAATATATCGATTGAAGAATATTTGAATATTAATCAAAATAAAATTAAAATTGTAATTATTGCTGCTTTAAGTGATTGTAAATTATCATTACTTTAAGTAATTAGTTAAAGTAGCTATCTATTGATTTTTAAGTAAGTAACAATGATGTATCTGCGTGGATGCAACATGCTGGATCGGTCTCTGCTGATAGGTATGCGGTGTCTTACTCACAGGTCAGAACGAAACGACTTTACTGTGTGTGATTTAAAACCGCTCGCGTGATTCACAACTCTCTCTCTCTCTCTTTCTCTCTTCCCCTCTCCTGCATCGCATCGCATCGCATCGCATCACATCGGTCGGACCGGTTTTGGCAGCGGCACCCTGAAACACGTGTTTCCAATAAGCTTTTATTGGTAGATAAATCAGGCGCGATCTTATTGTGGGATTATGATGTTTGCACGCACTGAGTCGTTTTATCGGACGCGCGTGCATCGCGATACTCGTAATTCGTGCATTACAAGCCCCCTCTCGCTTCCTCTCTTCCGCCCTGCCATTTTTTATTCCGCGCGAATCTCGTCAATTTTTGAAACACGTGCGAATTTATGCGCTCACGCGAGCTTTCAGCTTTCGCAATTGTATAGACAGGTTGCAAAATATAGAGACGAAGCGAGAGCGGCATCAACGAGAGCAGGTTCACTTTAAAAAAAGAATCTCGTAGGGATGACTGATCCGCACAATTATTTAGGCTTGGCAAACCCACTCGAGCTCAATACATTGCGGATACTCACAATATATACTTTTTTATGAGTGATAGTACAATAAACGTTTAAGGAAAAGTGAGGTCCACAACCTCGCTTAAGAATAAGAATTGCACCCATATACGATAAAATAGAACGGGACAGCACAAAATAAGGCTCATTTTTTATTTATGTATGTCTTTTCATGGGTGTAGACAGGAGGGAAAAACAGGGGAGTTATGGCCCCTTCCTTCCAAATCTTAAAAAGAAGAACAAAATTAATTAAAACCGCTTAAACGGACGCTTAGTGAGTATTTATAAAAAATTAATTTTAATAAAGAAAAGAATTGGAGTTGAAAGTTATAAAAAGATTTTCTGAGAATCCCCAAGACGGCTAACGTTATAAATTTTCATTTTTCCATTTCAAAGAGTCAGTTGTTAAAATATGATCTACTTAATTTTAAGAGAAAAATAAAAATTGAGTAGTTAATTAAATATGTATGAGTTTATAATTTATCTGTCAGCAATTAATTAAAAATAATCTAAATCAAAACAAGTCCACTAGCCCATACTCGACTATCCTTCTTCCTCACCGGATTCAAAAATTTCAACTTTAATTTAATAACTAACTCATGTCCTTTAATTTAAAAATAAGTAAAAAAAAACTTCTTTTTCATTATTATCTTATAGCTATAAATTTTTCTTGAAATTTGGCTAAAGTCTTTAGATTGCAATTCGTACGAAATGACTTCAAGCAATAAATTATTCTCGTGACGTAAGCATTCTTCAACATACACTGCAAGAAAAATGATTGTAATTATCATAATTTATAATCACTTGTTCTATGCCAACTGTATTTTGTTTACTATAAATATAATTATCTAGTAATGTAGCAGTAATAATTATAAAAGTAGTTTCTAATTATATAATTATTTCATCATGCAATTATAATCTCAAATATCATATACTTTCCTCTCAATATAGAGAGATAAAAAGAGAAT